TTTAAGAATTTTAGCAACTGCAAAGAGCAAAATAATCTGACATTGAAATGAAAAGCACAAAATCTTGGAAAATGATCAGAAAAGTTTTAATACAGATTTGACCGGTTCAAGAGATAGCATTCTATAAAAATACGTAATTTTAAATAATAAAAATTTTTTATTTATTATACAAGAGTGAATAAACATGCACATATTCGAAAGCATTCTTAATAGTCATACCTCCGTAATAATTATGTCATAAGGAGGATTCTGCGGCGGGTTCTTGATCAGTTCTTGTATCTTCGGGTGATCCATCAGTTGACAAACTTCTATCCCCGTTGTATAAGCTAATGATCCAATCAATAGCATGCTGACTGCCATGTCTTTGACTCTCATTGCGGTGACATTGTTCATAACAGGCGGCATACTACCCGCCAAACTGATATCCGTATAATTGGGTATCGGCTTCTTTTGCGGAAAATGTGTGACTACGTCAACTTGATGGCCACGTTTCGCTAAGCCTTTCATCAATTCTTCTTGACTAATCCAGTGACTTTTACCGTTATACGGAAATATTCCGAGGATGCGATAACCATCAACAACTTGATCGCAGATCAGAATCGCGAAAAGAATCGATAGTAGCTTCATGTTGATTTGATAGTCACTGCTTCTGCGTTTAATACTTATTATATCCAACTTATTCGACTTATATAACTTTGATTCATGTAAGAAGTAGCTAGCCAATTGCTAATTGTAAAGATAAATTGCACTATTTCTGAAATACATCAATCAATGTTACAAATAAAATGACACATCATTTTTTTGTAGAGATAACATTTCATAGATTGCATTTAAAATAATATCTGGAATATTATAATCTGAACGATAGATTAACCCTTTACGTTCGAGTATCGGCAAATAGCCGCCCAAGCCTTTTTACCCTTGCGGACGCGTGTCGGCATATAGCCGCTCAATTGAGTTTACAGCTGCGGAGACGTATTATGAAACGGCTCGCGTACGACTATCTTTCTGAACGATAACATAGACGTGGTAGTATATGTAGTAGACTAAAGAGTCAAGTTTTCTGCGCTCGTTGGGCGACTCCGACCGCAAAGGTTTAATAATACATTGTGACTAAAATTTTCACTTGATTGTGTATACGAAATGATAACATTGGTGATAAGTATGATAATGTATAATAATGTATGGTAATGTAAGTCATTCTTGTCTATCGTATTTTGCTTATTTTGTTATTATAAAACTCATAGATTATTCAAAGCTACACTTCTTTTTACTTTACAATTGTCTTTTAGTTTTTTTATGGACGAAGTTGATCGATAATATCCGGAATAGTCACTTCGTTTTTCAACTTGTATTTCGTATTTTACAAATTGCTATCAGTATGAATTCCGGAAAATTTTTTATCACGATATAATCAAAGAAATTTGCGAATAAAGTTTATATGCATTTAGTAATTCTTTAAGATAAATTTTTCTACCGTAATATAAATAAGAGATTCTTGAAACACAAATAAGTTTTGTGTTTGAATTTTTCATGTGTACATGAATGTTGTTTTATTTTTTTTCAAAATTTTCTTTTCAAAATTATCAATTTTGGGGACAAAGAACCATATAATAAATTAATCAGAAGAAACTCAAAATCACTTACTATTCGATAACACAATAATTGTTTTTTAAATTGCATTAATTAAAAGAAGCAATCTAATGCTATTCAATATGTCGCTCATTTTCAGACACACACATTACAAAGAGTTTCACAACTGTAATGACAGTGGTGAACACTGATTGTTTTCTCGTCAGAAAAGATAAATCATAATGAAAGGAGTGATGGTAATGATATATCCGATATTCCATGCGTAATGGACTTTAATCTTCTAGCGCAATCTATCTCATAACGAGAACTTTGCGAAATATCGGAGTACAGTCTTCATTTCATTTCTTATCTAACATTCTTGATAATTTTTGTTTAATAAATTTATTCATACATTATTTGTATATGGACAATTTCCAAAATTTATAATTTAAATAAAAATTAAATAACACAAATTATATGTAATAATTAACAAAATGTCCAATTCTTACAATTTAAATTTTTATAAAATAGTCCTTTCGAAATATTAATTTATGATTTTAATTTTATTCATCATAATAAAAAAGCTATTATCATTAAATAATAATCACCCATTTAATCACGTAGAGTAATCGTAGAGTAAGGTAAAAAAATAAAATAATACACACTTGTATAGTTCGTGTCGCAATGTTTTTTCACTTGTTCTTCTTCAATTTAATCGCTGCGCTGTCTTTCCTTGCAGGCGATCCAAATAAAAAATTCTTCAATTTTCGTAGAACAAACAGCACGATACAAAGTGCTATAATAATCACGGCAACTATAAAGGCATAAACGTCGAGTAAGTTCAATTGCCACCAATAGAGATCAATCGCTGGTGATTGAAGCACATTTCCATGTTTTCCGATGTACTCTATCCAAAATATGGACGTGTTCAAGGCGCTCATCGGTCGATCGACAAACAGTTTTGAAAGTCTCTGTACATTTTCACTGAAAGGTGCAAGAAAGAGAAAGGCACTCATTATATATCGATATAGCAAGATCGATGTTGCTAAAAGCAATTATGGCAGGAAACTCGAAATCGTGCAATCGTACAATATTTGTTAGTCGCATTTCAAAGATTTCGATTTATCGCGAGATTCCGCTTTAATCTCGAAAAAAATGCACGATTCATATAATTAATGAATTTATTTTTCATATAAATTTCTCATCTTTTATCCTTCTTGTTTTACCGAGTTGTAGTGTTTGTCCTTCAACACAAGACGTATTTTATAAGGATACGAATGAAACGAGAATTTTAAGGCACGTATCGGTTGACTAGAATTCCCTCGCGATATGCATTCAAGAATTGAGAAAGCTTTGTCACATTAGAAACACACACGTTCTACTTGTTCCTCATTATATGCAATAGATTACGGATCGATGCATCAGCTAATAAAATTAAACTCTAAGTAAACTGTCTCTTCTTAAATAAAATTATTTTATTCTTGAAAAAAAACCAATAATAAACCAATAGCAATAAAATTATCAAGCAAAATGCTAAAATAATTGATTAAACAAAGATTAATAATAAATAAAGCGAAATATAATAAATAAAAAAATGAAAAAGTAAACGAAATTAAAAAATATATATGAGAAAAATTAATTATATTATTAATTATATATGTAAATGTGTAATCAAAGCTTTATATATATGTATGTATCATTATAATATATTTAATAATTACATAAAAATAATATTTTGTGCAACTTTTGAAATATCAGTTATCTAGTTAACGAGAAATATTTTTCGTGTTTGCGGTTTTTACATGATCAATGTTATCATTTCGTTAATTTCGATTGAATACGATTATGATTGATAGATAATTTGCTTAAGGTCTGACGTTTATAGTACTTTGAGCACTTACTAATAAGAGGGATCCTTTAAGATTTTATTTAATGCCGAAGTTAATTTCTCCTCGGTAACATCATATATTGATTCAAAGGCGACAGCCACCTTCTTGTTGACGTAATTTTGAATATTGATGTGCTGATCGCCGAAAAGAGGAATACCTATCATAGGAACTCCACAATATATCGATTCTTGTGTTCCTAAGCCGCCGCCGTGCGTAATGAAACCACGTGTGTGTTTATGTTCTGTGGAATATATAATTTTTTTCATTTACATTGCAAAATTATAATGATTGGATGCGTTCAACAACAAATGCACAGCGCGTAAAACTAACAATGTAAATTAATAAATGTAAATTTTAATTTAAAAAGTTAAAATGTAAATTTTAATTTAAAAAGTCAAAGAATCTTTTCATATAAGTAAATAAAAGTAAAAGGGATTTATTACCGACTTATCGATTTTTTTAAAACTTCTTATTTTCCAAAAACATATATTGTATGTAATTTCGATTATTTAAATATTTCAGAATTTGATTTGATTGTATGTAACTCTTTTCCATAAATATTAATTTTCAAAATCCTTTTTTTAGACCATGACAAAAATATTTTATCTTTTAACTGAGTATTTTTCATCTAATATTAATGATTAAAACTTTGCAACTTGTTTTTCTATTTTTTTTTTTTGTTAAAAACTCTTATAAATGTATTAGAAAAATGAGTTATAAATTACAAAATTTTTATTACAAAAAAGTTTGATCGGAAAATAATTTTTTTAGTGAGATTGCTCAATTTTTATGTAAATGAATTATAGTATGCAAAGACCGTGAATTTTTATCGCGAGTGGCTCCAATGATAACTAAGAAACAAATATAATTTATTACAGTAATCTAATAATAATTGACCTAGCAATAATTATTTACTTAGAACGGAGATCTGCGGAAACCAAGATTGTGTCATGACATTCTTCGGTAATCCTGGTAACAAATCTTCTTTCTTTGCGACCTTCATCAGCACACGAACTGGCGCGATCTTCTCGAAAGATGCATAGAATTGTTCTATTATTTCCTTAGGAAAAGTCTCAATCCTTACCATGGAACCGAACGTAAAATAAATAGAACCATTCTTGCTTTCGTCCAACCATTTTTGCACTTCCTACAATAAACTTTTTTAAAACATCACGGAATAAGCAAATCTTAGATTGTTGCTCCCAAAAATAAAATATATTTAAAAAAAGAGGACAGATCATTAAATAATGAAATTTGCAATGAAGCAACATAATTATTTTTTGTGTTTATCATAATAGTTATGCGCATATTTATATACGATTATTGAAAGAAAAAGATTTCGTTTTTAATAAAAATTCATGACAGAGAAAATACAAAATAGCTCATTCGTTATCACAATGCACAGATCATGTAAAATATTACTTTTAATAAAAAATAAGATATATATGTATATTTTGTCTTTTAAATACGCTATTTTTGAACATAAAATTTCTTTTTCTTTCTCCTAATTTTCCTAGAATAATTTTACATTATATTTACTTGAACTTTCAGTTTCAAATTTTCTGTGTGAAATAATTATTTTATTTATAGATACTTTTTTATTCTTTACTGGCTTTGAATGAAAAAATGGATAGATAGAATTGCATTAATAATAAAAAAATTTCATCAGCTCTCATTATGCGCAGAAAGAACTAACATGTGTTATAGGAATAATTTGCGAAGAAATCAATTTTTATTTTAATATACCGGCGGCAATGGATCGTTGTCCTTGAGATGCACACCGCCGACCTCGATTACATTAGTGGTCATTGGCTTAATTCCGTGTAACGAGTGATGAGTATTGACCAGGTACAAAGATATGTCGCGGTACAAGTCCTTGATGTGTGACACATCTATATCAAAGTGCTTTTTCACGAATTCCAATTGTGAATTCGTCTGATAGTTTATTTGTGCTGAGATGTAGTTTGATAAAATAACGTTTGCCACTCGTTGCGTGAAACTCATGCGTTGGGTGTATGTCGAGAACAAGCTTGGAATGTAAGCGAGATTAAATGGATTGCCGGACACCTCGTTGAGCCAATCGTGAAAAACGCTAGCCACCGTAGCGACTATTGGAACATTGAGATGACGGCCAAAGGCCAGGTAGCACGGTGCCATGTGCAACTGTAAAAAATTGAAACACATTGCAATTTATCAATCGATTAATTATTCACAAACATCTCGCAGTCACACTTGCCAAGTCATGTGTTCCGCGACCAGAAGACACGCGATTCTGCATCCATTTAGCAATGTAATGCATAATGCAGCTCGTGTAGTTGAATTATACTATTAATAATCGTGTGTAATGCAACTGATGCAACATGATGAAATGTGCCATTCGTATAGGGGGGGGGGGGGAAACAAAGTCCCATTATGGCACGCTGCTACTCAAAATAATGAGATAAATAGATGTAACTAACAACATTGTAAAATGGCAAAAACAAAGATATAAACGTTATATTATATATTAATTATATCATGAGATATATAACTGAATAATTCTCTCGATACACAAAGATACTGTATTTAAGACGCGTTCACATAATAATCCTGTCCATAAATCTTGTCCTGTCAAATATACAATGATATTTCGGGATTCAAAAGTCCTTGTCGCTAATGACTAAAATCATTAACGTATGATATAATTTTTGCAATAGAATTTATCTAATTTCTGCATGTAATTACGCGAATACAAATTGAAAAATATAAATAATAGCTTGTTAAGTATTATGTATTGAATAATTAATTAATATAATTTATCACACTTTCATAAATTATATGCAGCCTCTTTTCATTGAAATATTATTTTAAATAGCAAATAAAATATTTATTATTTTAATGATGCAACATGCACTCATAATTACGGTTTATATTTCAATGTATATCGTGTTCTTATGTCATATTCTAAAATTTTTTTTGAGATTCATTGTTACATAAATGTGTTATAAATACTAAAATTTTTTTTAAGA